GGTTCAAATTTTATATGTTGATGCCTTGGGTTAAAGGAGCTACGCTGAAGAAGGGATTTTCTGAATGGCTGCTAAATATTAAAATGGTGGCCATTTTTCATAAAATGATAACTCAAATACTAGTTGAAGGATTTGGTTTGAATTTTACATCTATTCAAAATCGCTGCTATATAGAATAGTTTAAAAAAAATAAGTTTAAAATCTGACCAATCAGGAGTGTATTCTTGATGTAAATTGGATGTTTACTTAAGTGTAAACTGAGTGTAAATTAAGGTGTAAATTAGCTTATTTGCATGTGAATTTGGTCACCTATTTACTGGGTGCAAAGTAAGTGTAAACTGACTGTGAACTAAAGTGAAAACTGAGTGCGAACAGGATGTAAACTAGATGTAAATTAAAATGTAAATTGGGTGTTCACTTAGGTGTAAACTGAGCATATTATGAAATTGGTCACCTATTTACTAGGTGAAAACTAAGTGTAAACTGAGTGTAAATTGTAGATGTAAAACCTTTGTAAATTTTGATAAGGGCGCCCCCCCCCCTGAATATTTTATGGGCATAAAGGTGATTACAAACACATCTATACATCATTGCTACGCTACTCTTTCAGTAACAGTAAAAATCGTTTAATAGAAATGGCCACCTTTTTTCAATATGGCCACTCACTAGCCAGGGAACTGTCATAAGAAAGTGTGATATGATTTTAAGTGAGCATAAAATCATTCTACTACTTTTCAAGTTGTAGTTAAAAAATGTAAAATAACACACTTTTAACTTTAAAATAGAGGCCAATTTTCCAAATGGCCACCTGGCCAATGCGCCATGCTTATGAGATTAAAAGCGCAAAATAACATACATTAAAGTAGAAGCCATTTTTCAAAATGGCCGTATACTAGCCAAAGTGTAATAAGATAGTGTGCCATGCTTATGTATTCACATATTAAATATGAACAAAATCACTCCATATTACTTTTCCAGTTACAGCAAAAATCACAAAATAGCATGTAATGGCCACCATGTTTCAAGATGGCCACCATGTTTTCTAACACCCATCACACCGCCCCCATCCCCCTGACTACGCCTATGTTGTTTTTTCTGATGTGCTCAAAATCCTCCTAGCATACAGACGCAAAAGAATAATCTACTTCTTATGGCCTAGTCTAAATAAGTGTTTGTTAATTTCCCACCCGCAGGGCATAGAAGATATCATTCATTTTCAGTTATTCATGTTCTTTCTGGTCAAATATAGAGAATATATAAGTGCAAATGCCAAAGGGAAGGGTGACTAAAAACTTTAAAGAAACCCAACAAGAAAAGCAAACTGTAAGTGTTAATCTGTCATAAGATAAGTAGACCCTAAATATCCCAAAACCATGATCTAACGTGAAAAGAAACAATGTCTAACATCCTCCTCCCCCTCCAATCGAGAACCAATATCACAATCCAGGACCAGAACACCAAGGGAAAAGTACATGTCCATTAATTGTGAGAATTATTTCTTAAATTATCGGTGAATTAAGCTTTTCAATGGGGTATAAAACTTGTAACTGGTCTCATATTTTTAGAGATATCTTAATTTGAAAAGTGTGTTTTTCAGCAATTGTTATATTTCTTACACAATTCAGCTGCGCTGTTCACACCTTTGGTTGACAGGCTATAGCGGTAGATTATTAATTCTTTGAAGTGATAATGTTTTGACATGTAACAAACCTTCCTTATTCATGAATATTCATATCGTCATAGTTACATGTCCTTTTATGGCCAGAGATTCTAGATTTCCACTGATTTCCATGTTTCCATTGAGAGTCAGTATGTACAAAACATTTTCAAATTAAGTATAGATTTTCCCTTCTGGGAACTCAAGCTGAAACCCCGGGATTGGAACTATACGTAATCATGTATAAACTAGAAAACTTGACTGGGAAATCAAAGGTCGAAGGGTTTTTATGAAATATTTTCCAAAGAAATTCTCGACACCCAGTAAGTCGTAGGGTCAAAGGATCGTGTCAAAAGGTTCTTAGTACATTCCAATTAAAGATGCTTTATGCCATAGGTTTCTCCCCAAGACAATCAATGATGTCCTTTTATTATTGCTCATATAATATCTCACATACCATGGATATATACTTGAATGGCATACTATTGGATGACCCTGTCAATGTACATATTGTGATTAACCATGAAAATTTTGGTTGTCATACGAATAAACCAAGGTTTTAATGAAGTTCAGCATTGCACCAATGGAGATTTGGCCCAAGTTATTTGATGTCATGGAAAATGATTTAAATGACATAACTGTTAAAATCAAAGCTATAATTGGAGAAAATTTGTCACTGAATCCAAATATGCTATCAAAAATAAAGAAAAGTAAATCAAAAAAAACAAAAAAAACAAAAACAACAACAACAACCAAACTCCAGAATTAAACACAATCGATTCCTCGGCTAGCGAGGGGAATCCCCAATGAGTCACACCAGCGCCTTAAACCAGGCAGCCAATCAGGTTTATGATAAACAAATTCAATGACCAATCAGATAACAGGAGGTGTTTCCCAGTATATTCAAACTTCAGATTGAATTAATTTCTTCGAAAATAATTAGATCGGCCAGCACGATTACAAAATTAACACTGAAAGATGGGGATTTGGGACTTCTTCTTTGGTAAGTAGATGGGTATATATGTGGTGAAACTCAATATGCATAAAGGTCCAGAGGGGTCTTGATTGTGCTATCCTATGGCATAGAGCCTCTTTAATTAGTCACCATTAAATCAAGATGTCAGATTGATTGATCTTGTAAAAATTGTTTTTTTCAAGAAATTGCCATGCTTTCTAGAAGATTTGAGAAGTTTTAGATCACGTTCAGAAAAAATGTTGAGATTTACCGATACTAGAGGCATCATTGCGTAGCATGGGCAATGTTTGTATTACAAACAGTACAGTGCTTACAAACTTGGTGTTAAGAGTACAAGAGAAGCAATTTAGAATGGGGCATGAATAAGGCGTAGAAAATTCCATTGAGCAACCATGGCTGCTATTTTTGGAAAGGGCCACCAATTAGCCTAAATTGTCATTAGACAGTGTAATTTTCTAGTTCACATAAAAAAATTCAATAAAAACACTGCACTAGATACTAACAAAAAAATTAGAATTGAGCAACCATAATGAAAATTCCTTCTTTGGCAGAGGTCCTACTCCCATAAGCCTGTGAAATTTGATCCAAATCCATCAACTGGTATTTGAGTTATCACCTTGACACAGGGATAAATGAACAGCTGGATGGTCAGCTTCTCTATATCCCCCTCAAACTTAGTTTGGTTGGATAATTAATTTTAACAGTTGCTGGATTTCTCAGAAAGAATCTCCTGATCATATATGATATCCCTTATTAAATATATTGTTGGACCCCTGGGTCGGTCCAATTCATTATTAAAAGTTTATCTAATTTTGTAAAGAATGACAAACTAGTTGATTCCTTAATACTCATAATTTTATTTAATAATTTTAAAGTTTAGTCCAAACAGTTACAAAAATACATCTTCACAATCTAAAGCCAAGCCGAAAAGGTGTCCAATTCTTTACCAGTGCAGGTTTTTAAACTCAAAGTGACCAGTGATCAAAATGATTAATGGCCTTACAACAACACAGAGCAGATCAGCGATTCAGCTGGCTTATGCAAACCCCAGACTCTGGAAGTTGACCTCAGTATCCCAGGGCACCTTGCAAGCTATGACCCGGTCAGAGGGAATTGTTTTATCTATCACTGGCTGGATCACTGCAACTCTGCGTTGAGCGTTCTTTGTTCCCAGCTCTATTCACTAATCTAATTAAACTACTGGGTGAGGAAAACTATTAATCTGTCAATATCTTTTTGATGCCTGAGTTTCAACTTTTTGGAAGAAACACATAAATCTCATAACATGACATACTGAACTTTTAAACCCATATAGATGAAACAAGTTGTTCCTTGACCATTCAAAACTGTCAACCAAATGATAAGTTCCATGCAGAAAATATTTAATCAAAATATAAGTTTACCGTGTGTTCCTAAAAATGTCCAACAATATTGATAGTATGCAAGTGTATCATTCAATTTTCATGAACATTAGCCTACTAACAAAGAAATGTAATGTTTTGAAAAGAGAACAGATTTGGGGGCAAGGCCAGGGTGTCTGGAATATTTGACCAGATTCATTGCCCCCAGGATGGAAAATTGGCACTTTCATTTGAAAAATGTTGCATAAGAATCTATACTTGTGTTATAATTACAGAGAGAGAGAGAGAGAGACAACGACAGAGAGAACAACAAGTATCTTGTTCTCATTATGAAATTTTTATGAAATGTCCAAGAACAAAAAAGTTATAATTCTATATTTTCTTTCATAGAGGGCAGAAGCAGCAAGAAAAAGGGAGGAAGAAGAACGTAAGAGGGAGGAAGAAGAATGTAAGAGGGCAGAAGCAGCAAGAAAGAGGGAGGAAGAACGTAAGAGGGCAGAAGAAGAACGAAAGAGGGCGGAAGAAGAACGTAAGAGGAAGGAACAGGTAAGTATGCAAGCAGAGGAGCTTCACAGGCTTAATGATAAAAGCTGGAAATGAGCACAGGGTGATGTAAGAACCATTTATATAATCTCTGTACACCTAAACTTGTCTATTTTATCAAATTCAGCAAGATATTTTTGTTGTTATTTATAAAATCCAAGGATAAAGTTATTGTAAAATGCTAATGAATTGTATCTGTCCTAATGATGAACAGATTTTGGGTGGAGTATTTGCTTCTCCTAACTATAACTGTATTTTCATAAAACAGTTAAAAAGACCCTATACTCCCCATTGGATTATATGGTTTCCTGTTTTGAAAAAGGCAGTGACCAAGGAAAACAAATAAAATTTCAGCTCTGATTAAAATCGTCTAAAAGTTAAAAAATATATAGGATGCAGTTACAATATTTTGATACATGGTTCATGAACATACTAGGAATCGTGGATACATAAAATAGTTGGACTAAATTGAACACAGGATACAAAATTCCGGTGAGAAAGTTAGATCATTTTACATATAAATATTGTTTTATTGGCAGCCAAATAGTGGACATAAGTAGGTCAGTTCATGTATAGCTGTACATATTGTAACCACATAAATAGCCTGTATATATTGAAAACTGCTGTGTAATAGTGCATGACCATAGTGGCCAGGCCAAAGTATGGGAATATCTGTTGAGCAATGGAGAGCTTGCATTGGGGTCGGAGCTCCCGGGAGAACAAAACTATCGAATCACGCATATCAGACTCTCAAGTTTCATGGTTCAACTGCATTCACGTTAATAAAATTGCTACTCGTGGTTAGCGTGCTGCTTCAGTGCTCCGGAGATGTGGAAATGAATCCAGGCCCTAGGGCAGGGTCAAAATCATCGGACATGACAAATGAGGAATTATGGTCAAAAATTGAAAATCGCTTCACAACTTTAGATAATCGTTTTGATAGTATGGAGACTAGGTTAAGTGATCTAGAAAACAAAGTTACTGAGTTGAAAGGAGAAGCTGAACAAAGTAAGAAATGCATTAATAAACTCGAGAACAAAATTGATGAACTTGAAAATCGGTCAAAAAGGGAAAATGTAATTGTGTTTGGAATCGAGGACAGGCAACATGAAACCTGGGATACATCGGAAGATAAAGTTCAAGATGTTTTTAAAAACAAACTGAACCTGCCAGACATTAACATTGACAGAGCACACCGTATTGGTCAATACAAGGATCCCATGCCCAATGGAAAGGGGAGGCCAATTATTGTTAAATTGAGTTCTTATAAGGATAAAGACAGAGTGTTTAAAGCAGCCAAAAATCTGAAAGGGACCCCTATATCAGTATCAGAAGATTTCTCAAAACGTGTTCGGGATATTAGGAAAAAATTGCTAGAATTTAAGAAGTCTATTCCCCATACTCGAGCCTCTCTTAACTATGATAAATTGAAAATAGATGGTGTCATGTATGGCTATGATGAAGTTACTGATAGTGTCGTCAGACTAAGTAGAGGAAACACTGGTGAAAATCAAGGGTCAAACCAATAGGGCCACATGTCTTCTCAAATTTGAGACTATGTGCATGGAACATCCAAGGCAAAATCAAATGTGAAACAAGCAAAAATCAAATAAAGGATTTCGTTGAAAACTTTGACATTGTCTCACTGTCAGAAACATGGGCTAAAAGTAAAACTGAGTATGATGACTTTTTGCCTGGATTCACACATTTTGGACAATTTTCTCAACGTCGTGGTACGAGAGGGAGATATCCTGGTGGCATTAGTGTTTTTGTGAAAAAAGGATTAGCTGGCAAATTAGTATACATGGAAAATATTTCGTCTGAATTAATGATCATTTTGAAAGCCCCAACAATATTGACGGGATATACTTACGATGTTTTTCTTATATTTCTATATTTGCCACCCCAGTATTCAAAAACATATTGGAGAATTGGTGAGGATAATGGTATTATTTGTTTGGAACAACAAATCGGGCATATTAAAGCAACATTTGGAGATTGCAAGTTTCTTATTATGGGGGACCTGAATGCAAGAACCGGGAATGAGTGTGACTATATATTAAATGATGATATTCAAAATTTGCCGATTGGTGCTGATTGGTATGATGTTGATACCTTTTCACTTCCACGAAGTTCAAGTGATCACACTACAAATGAGTTTGGCAGAACCTTCTTAGAAGTTTGTAAAGAATGTGATATCCATATATTGAACGGTCGTTTTTCGGGGGATAAAGATGGAAACTACACATATATAAACACATCCATGGGGCGCAGCGTCATTGACTATGGTGTATGCTCATCAGACCTCTTCAATTTTATAAATAATTTCACTGTGGGCAATATTAATACATCTGAGGGAACGGATCATTTTCCAATAACTTGTGATCTCAAATTGATGTTACATTCAGCAAATAGAAATGATCAACAAAACATGCGACAATATGACAGGTATATTTGGAAGCCTGATAAAGTCAATATATTTAAAAGCAAAATTCGTGACCAAACATCCCAAAATATATTAAGGGGATTTAACGATATGATTCAAAATGGAAACATAGATGGTGCTGTTGATAAAATTGTGAAATGTATTAACTATGGAGCTGAATGCATGAAAGTTAAACCGAGGAATCAAAATACAAAAACTGATGATTGGTGGGATGGTGATTGTGCAAAATTAAAGAAAAGGAAAATAAATAGTCTTCTTCATTATAGGAATTCAAAATCAAATGAATCTTTAATTGCCTATATAACAATCAAAAAAGAGTTCAAGCTATTATGTAGAAATAAGAAACAGGTATATGAAAATGAATTTATGAGCAAATGTAGAGATTGTATGAATGATGTAAATAAATTATGGCAATTGATTAAGTATGTAAAAGGGTCTCAAACAAAAGGTCATATTTCACCAGTCGAATGGTATGAGTATTTCAAAAATTTGCTTACTACAGATTCCGATATAGATAAAGACTTTCAAAATGTTGTAGATGACTTTCTCAAAAATCATGACCAAAATGATTGCAATCAATGTTTACAAAATTTACCAGATGAACTGAACTGTAATATATCTGTAGTGGAAATTGAAAATGTAATTACAAATTTAAAAAGTAAGAAAGCCCATGGTATAGATGGGATCACATATGAGATGTATCAACATAGTTATGACACTTTAATGCCATATGTTCATTTATTGTTCAATTCTATCATGTCAAATGGCTACTTTCCAAATTTGTGGAGCGAGGCTATCATTGCAGCATTATTAAAAAAACCACCAGTTGACAATGTTAATAATTACAGGGGTATATCTTTACTTTGTACACTTGGTAAGATTTTTACAAAGGTTCTAGCGAATAGATTTATTAAGTGGGCTAAAACAAATCACAAAATAGGTGACCATCAAGGAGCATATCAAGAAGGCAAAAGCACTTATGATCATATATTTAGTCTCTCTGCTATGGTAGAAAAATATTTATGTAAATCCAGAGGGCGCTGTTTTATAGCATTTGTTGATTTTAGCAAGGCATTTGATTCTATTCCTCATAAGCAAATGTGGTATAACTTAATTAAGGAGGATGTTCATGGAGCTTTTCTCAAAACATTACAATCTATGTACTGTAAATTAAAATCATGTGTTAGAACACCAGATGGTCTTACCCAATCATTTATGTGCCAAGTAGGTACAAGACAAGGTTGTATGATTAGCCCTTTTCTGTTCATTTTATATTTAGAACAGTTAGTAAAAATGTATAAATGTTCAGAAATTGAAGGAATATTTGTAACAGAAAGTGTGGATAATGTACATATACTTTTATACGCAGATGACATTGGTCTTTTAAATCATACTGTTGAAAATATGCAAAATCAGCTAAATATACTATCAGAATTTTGTGATAAATTTGGCATGAATGTGAACCTTTCGAAAACTAAAATCATTGTATTTAGAAATGGTGGTATTGTTAAAAAGGATGAAAAATGGCTATACAAGGGTAAAAATGTAGAAATAGTTTCTTATTACAAATATCTGGGTTTAATGATTTCTTCTAGGTTAAACTGGTCAGTCGCAACCAAAACACTAGCCAATCAAGGTGGAAAGTCACTACATGTCATAAACCAAATCTCAAAATTAGGTGGCTCATTATCATTTGAAATGGGATTCAGACTTTTCGATTCTCTGACGCTTCCTATTTTAACATATGGCTCAGAAATATGGGGTTTTAAAGTTTACGACCAAGTGGAAAAGGTTCAAAGAAAATTTTGTAAATCATTTCTTAAAGTTGCATCACAAACAACAAATGAGGCAGTTCTAGGGGAATGTGGACGATACCCATTATGTACAATATATATGTCAAAATGTGTAAAATATTGGTTAAAACTAAATATGGAGATGAAAAATGGGAGAATCCCAAAACATTGTTATTCTATGTTAGAGAACCTTGATTCAACAGGCCATATTACATGGGCAACACATGTTAGAAAGTTATTGTGTACAAATGGCTTTGGTGATGTTTGGGCTTTCAAAGAAGTAGGTGATGTGGACCTTTTTATTTTAAGTTTTAAGCAGAGGCTGAAAGACATTTACTGTCAAGAGTGGGCTGCTAGACTTTCAGAATTACCAAAAATGGTAACATATTGTAATATTAAAACAGTGATGGAAAGAGAAAAATATCTTTCCTGTGTAAATATAAATAAATTTAAAGTTGCTCTAACTCGATTGAGATGTAGTAATCATTCATTAGAAATTGAAATGGGTCGAAGAAATAATGTGCCAAGGGAACTACGGTTTTGTAAGTTCTGTTTAGCAGCAAATGTTAATATTATTGGAGATGAGTACCACATGGTTATGATATGTGAGAAATTCAGATCTCTAAGAAAAATGTATTTGCCAGATTATTATTGTTATAGACCAAATATGGTAAAATTTATACAGTTAATGTCAACTGAAAATGAAAACTTAATTTGTAATTTCAGTTGTTTTGCTTATCACTGTCTAAAATTGTATGAAAATTAACTGTAACTAGGAGGCCTGTGGCCTTAGAAGTTTTGAAATAAACATTATTATTATTATTATATGGTTTCCTCCACAAGTAATGCCACTAATCTTTATTAAAAATGTGAATTGTTAATGGGTTCAGTGTCACTTAACTCTGTTGTGACCAAACATGTTAATAAGACACTTTCTGATTGACATACATATAGTCAAAGGGCAGAAAAAAGAGCATCATAAGTGTTAAAGTAGGGCAAAAAATGTTGCAATTAAAGGTGCAGTAGCCGGAAATCGGGAATAATTCCTTAGAAAAACTCCAAAATAAATCATTGGTGCCTCAATCCTGCCCCGAAGAATGGCTATGACCTGAACTTACCTTTGTCAAAATACCATAGCCTGAAAGAAATCACTTACCTCGATATCGACGAACAAAGTTTCAGTTTCGTTCAACTGCGAGAGCAAAAATTGAAGCTGAGCTAAACAGTTTTCGTTTGTCGTAAAATTGACCTCCTTTAACTACGCCATCTGGCGAATGAATCATTGTTTTCGTGTCATATGATTCATTGTTTTGTGTCACGTGACCTACCTTTAGACCTTTTGCCACCTATCAATCCAAGAAGAAAATCTGCACAAAAATTAAACTCCGCTTGACATTGAATCCTTGTCACTCTATTGTCTTCTTGATGAGACACATCGGAACTTGGGATTTATATATATAACGAAGCCACAAAAAAGTATTATATTAGTTGTTCAACATATTCAATTGTGTTAATATTTCCGGCTTCTCCACCTTTAAGGCTGCAAATATAGTTCAATTTTAATTAGACTCCAGATTGAAAATCTGGAGTCTATTGTTTTTGCCTGTTTTCTTATTATTAGACTCCAGATTGAAAATCTGGAGTCTATTGTTTTTGCCTGTTTTCTTATTAGACTCCAGATTGAAAATCTGGAGTCTATTGTTTTTGCCTGTTTTCTTATTAGACTCCAGATTGAAAATCTGGAGTCTATTGCTTTTGCCAGTTTTCTTATTATTAGACTCCAGATGTCAATCTGGA